TCTCTCTCTCTCTCTCTCTCTCTCTCTCTCTCTCTCTCTCTCTCTCTCTCTCTCTCTCTCTCTCTCTCTCTCTCTCTCTCTCAGCTTCTGTTTTTCATTTGTTTCCATTCTACCGTTGCTGCCATCTCTTCCTTCAAATCTCTCACCTCATCTCGCAGCTGCAGAAGCCTCTCTGCTTGCGTTCTCTCCCTTCTCCGATGCTCTTCAAGTTCGAACTCCAAGTTGCCACTGCATGCTGAAAAATCTCTTGTGTCCCACTCTGGCTCGGCACAGACAGCTTTCACATCGGCTTTCATCCCCATAACCTCCAAGTCCTTTCCGCTTGATATACAACAGCAGCTGGGTCCGTCACCGTGGGTTCGTCACAGGCGCAAACAAGGCCATTGGTTGGTGCTCTATGTTCGACGCCTTTCCGCAGTGACAGATGTCATCTGCGTCATTGATTGACTTGGGTCTTCTCCTGTTTTCGTCACCACCGAGAGGGTGAACTTGCCTTTGCCTCTGAACGCAATGGCATGATTGGAGGTTTTGCAAGGAGCAAGGCCCCGTAGGCCATTCCGCCTCAGCCCGAAGCTATAGCACGACAGCAGCCGATCGTTGGACTCGTCCCATATCTTGATGTCATCAAACGCTACGGTGAAGATGTACGGCAAGGACGGATGGAAAAAGGCGGTCCTGAGATGCGAAAGGTCATCGGAAAACTTATGGGTAGGATACGAGCATACCGCACCCCCATTCTCAAGGTCCCAGATGGCCAGAGACCCGTTTTCGCGAGGTGATACGATGTCATGACATGACAACAGATACGACGTCCCCGGTCTGCTGCAAAAGTCGAGTCCATACACAGGGTTATCACAGTTTGGGTACATCATTTTGATCGTCTGCATGGGAGACCTTGTGGTTATGTCCCATAGATCGATGACTCCTCCAGATGCAGTTGCAAAGATATTGGGGTCCGTCGGATGGAAAGCCAACGCATGAATCCGCTTGTCCTTCTTACGTGACTCAAACCGGTTGGAAGTACGCTCGAAGGTAATGCTGGCCCATTCCCGGCGGTACAAGTTGCACTCACAGTACCAGTTCCATTTCCATTCCCACAGGACGGCAAGTTCATCGAATGAGGTCAATATGTAGGGTAAGCGCGGATGGACGGCAAACTGCAGCAGGCCACATCTTCTGCGAAGAGCATGGCGTAGAACTATGAGGGGGCACAAGTTGGAACCTTGGATCTTGTAAATGACGAAGCCGCTCCGACGGCGCCGCCCCACAATCCAATTGTTTGATGGTATGAATTTTGCCCCGAAAATACGACGCCCATCGGGAACCAACCAGGAGGCAACACGTGTCCCATTGACATACCTCCAGACTTCAAGGCTTGTTGGTTTGAGGTGAAACGAGCACAGGACCCACGGCTGGTTAGGGTGCACATCAATCCAGATATGACCAGGTACAGGCCCCCCGCCTGAGCCATCGTCCACCGTCCATTCCACCTCTGACACTAGCTCGACGACTTTTCTTTCTCCACTGTCATCCGGGGTCTCTTCGCTTGCCATAGGTATCCCAATCGATAGATGTCCCACGAACCCGCCAGGACCTGGTCCCACCAAATGTGGGCCCAGGAGCAAAGCCAGCAAGGAAGGATAACAAACAACCACAGGACGGGAAATTCAATATTGTCAGCCGCCAGGAAAAAAAAACAAAAAATAGAAACTACGCTTCAAGTAGAATGAGCCGCCTGAAAAAAAAAAAAAA